AAAATCTCATCCATACCGACCATTCATGCATAGCTCACTCTCAGCCCAGAGCAAACTTTCTTCCGGGTGACTTGAAACTCTAAGAAAAACCCCTGTTTTAGTTAGATCTAGATTTTGCCTCTAAGCTGTTTTCAAAGTTATCCTCTTTAATTTTCATCTCCGCCTAGCGTGCATGCAAGTGCCCACAGATACAAATAATAAAGCCGTGAGCCTGCAGCTGTTCCTGCGCTCCCTGGCCTCACGCCAGTGTCTGCACAAGTTAAGCTCATGCCTTAATTTTCTCGCCCCGTTCGCCTAGCCTTTACCTTTTCATAATCCGTTACGATGATAAAATCTTCAATAAGTAGCTAGTCGTTTCTTAATGATACGGAAAATGGGTCTCTGAAAAATTTCCCTTCGGCCGCAGCAAGTTTCAGATTTTCCACCCATACAGAAACAAACGAATCTACGACTGAGACCTAAAATGGCAGCATCTAGATGTTGGGTTGGTACCAGCCCTAAAGTAGCAGGATTAGGCACAAGTCCGGGCGGCGCACGGTGGATCGAGTCAATAGGAGAAGTCGGACAAACCTTGGAAACTTAAACGCTTTAAACTCCGTTCATACGAGACTTTGAGGTTCTAAAAGTGGATCCATTGGTTTTCTCGTGAAATTCCCCTCGGAAAGCACCCATTGAGATGCAAAATGTGACGAAATAAAAACGAAAATTTGCATTTTTAGTCAAAAATTTAATGTCCGACCTCTGTAATTGACTCGATCCACTGTGCGGCGATGGAACCTGCCCCAAATGTGGGCGATGCCATTCGACCGACCTCTATGCCGCCGTGCTAGGGAAAAAAACAATGTAATCATCCAAATGTTGCTCAATTTCCCTTCATATAACCTTTATTTTTGAAGAAATTTGTGATACTTTTCCGTGGAATTTACAGATACTGCATAAATTGAATTGCAAATAAAACTCGCTGAAGAATCGAAAGAAAAATATTCACAAGTCTCTTTGAAAATTCGTGTATTATTAGAAAAAAATTGGCAACGTCTGAAGGCTAATATGGTGTTTTTTCTCAGCACGGCCGTGTGGAAAAGAGCACTAAACCATTTTTTCCATGAATGTTAGGAGAAACTTGATAATGACGCACGGTGCAGCATCCTTATGGACGATGAAGACATAAATCGGTAAAAGACACTTAACTTTAAATAATGAAGGTAGTAGCACCGACATGGGAAACCCCATTGGCACTATCAAAGTAAAACACTCGAGGAATAAGAAAATGTTATATCTCAGGATTTTTTGCGCATTTTTCGAGAAAAGTTCATTTGAAGTTGAAAACCTCGAAGTAGTCCTGTGTTAACAATGTAGAACCAACGTGAAGCACCCAAACTTTAACTGCAAATATATCTGATAGTCGCAAGATCGTTTTGGTGGAATTGAAGTTGGATATCGAGAATTAAGAAAATGTCAACCAACCAGAGCATTTCGCGTTCCAAGCGAGAAATCTGCATTTGAAGTTGACGCATTTTTCCTGTGTATTTCCTATGGACCATTGATTCTCTGCCCATTTTTACCCAAGTTTTTACCCAATTGTGAACTAGTTTTGGGCAGAATATATGCAAATGAACAACCATTGTGAATCAGGAATATCATAAAGATAACAAACACCAAAAATAAATATGCAGTTGTCGAGTTGTGGATTTTGATTTTGACCACAGAGGGTCGCACCATGCGACGTATCGCATGCGGGAAGTAATGTTTTTGAATATCCCCTTTCTGCTCCTTCATTTTTAATAGATGTACGGAGTGCGTTAAAAAAATGTTTGCGAATTTCTGGCTGGATCTTTAATCCAGTAATGCCATTTGTGATCAGCGTGATTTCTATGCACACAGACATCCAAAAGTCTCGCAACACTAGCACCTGGCATTACTCCTGTAACTTGACAACAAATTGAGAAGGAGACTTGAAATTTTATTCATGCTCCTAGGTCAAAGGAAACAACTTTTGGGACCCTCAAAGATTTATGGAGTACAGCCTAAAAAGGGGCAGTAACCCTAGGGGCTATAGAAGCGGTGCAGGACTTTTGGATTATCCTATGAAGGTTTTGAAATACTTACTCGTGCCATTTATGAAGTGAAATTGTTGCGCCAAATTAATGCGCACTTTTCCCTTCGCACGCTTGCGAGTGATTAAAAACTAAAATCAATATTATCAACAATAATTATGAATAAACAAATATTTTACTGTCAACAACATAACAAAATTAACAATTCTGAAATTAGAGACGAAGTTCCAATTATTTGTTTAGCACCAAATTGAATCACTTCAAGAATGGATATTCACACAAGTTAAAAAAAAACAAACAAATCAAAAATAACGCTTAAATTGGTTAAGTTTTTACGTCCGACTCAGAGACAAAATAATCAGGACACAATACTGGCACACGATTTATGATTACATATGGTGGGTTAGTTACTTTGTGAAACCGAGACCCAAATTTTACACAGTAATGATCGATGAGATGTGCGTTGAGAGATAAGTTTCTGCTCGGAATTACACTCAATATCTTACGCTGTACGTATCCTGCAATAATGCGGCAGTGATGAGCATGTCCTTACTCCGCTGGAAATGCTCAGTCCCGAAATCTCGCTCGGAATCACTCGCCTATATTACTTAATCGTAAGTTCTTAAGGCTATTTTATTTCTTATTTCCATACAACTGATTATCTAACCAAATTCAGAAAAAGAAATCATCAAGTTTCAACCAAGAAGAATACATTCTGGCACCGTGGTCATCCACTAAACTTAAAGCAAAAGACAATTTTGGATAGAAACTTTGTATTAAACTTAAAATAACCTCTACTTTAAACCACTCAAGTATGAGTTGACTCTCTGTTTATCAATCTTGTATATCACATGGCCTGAAAACTAAATTTAGACTTCAAACAGAATATTTTCAAGCATAAGTGTTTCAGCACTAATGAGTGATGATATTTACTCCAAATTCTCAGAATTTTCAAAATACGGTGTTAATCGGCCGCTCAAAAAGTAACCCTCACCGGTCAGACCATTGATTTAGTCCTGGTTTCGATCAAGGTGTCCTTAGACTCGTCACTACGTAACTTACCAATGAAAATTTACCTGCCGAGCGCCATCATGTGAAAAAACCATAAATCGAAGGCTTTATCATAAACTTCAACGAATTTTGATTCAAAGCGAATGACAACTACATTCATTATGACATAATATCGATTGGAAAGCTGATGATTGAACAAAAGTGTATAATAACATCAATATCTAGGAAAATATAACAATGTAAAAGACTTAAAAATATAAATTGATTAGCTGACAAACAATTGATAGTCAAAAGTACAATTTTCCTCTCCAGAAAAACCTCTCTGAAAGTTAAAACATCAACGAATAATTAAATCTTTTCAGGCGAAAATTCAATGCCCATTAATCCTAGAAATAAAAATCGAAGCAGCTTTGGTTCGGCCTAGCCACAAGTCTCCACGTATTCTTAATACTTACTTGCACTAATACAATAAATGAGATCAAAAATTTTCGAATCACACCAAAAATGAAACATTTTTTGGTGAACTATTAACAGTATTTCCTATATATTCCAGGGACCCATAATCCTTGAATAAATGCTCCTGACCTTCTGTAAAACACTTCTCAAACATTAATTTTCCTCGTAATGCAGGGACTAAATTATCTATTCTTACATTGTAAAACTTCCAATGTGAAGTAATACACTGTCTACGTAAAATGACTAGAGAATCGAAATTGCGTGTAAAAAATATCACCAAAAATAAGAATGCTTTGTTGCATTCTTTTCACCGAAGTGAAATAGCTTATAGTCCTGTGGAAAACTTTTTTTATATGCTGTTTATATAAATATATATATTTCCGCAGTACGTTTAACTAGATGGAAAATCGGTGTGTGTATTTTGCCTATTTTTGCGAAAGAACACAATCTTTGTCTTTTCATTATCTGTGGGTGAGTAAATGGAGAACAACGTCGTGATCCAGTTAACCGCTTGAAAGTTTGAAAAAATGAAATTTTGAAAGTTTCAAACATATTAGCAAATAGGAGAACGTCTCTAAAAACCACTAAACAAAACTGAGGTTAACAACGGTAGGACAATCATAAAAGGAATGAATTTAGGGATGTATGTATCATCAAGTTTCTAAAATCTAAGTGATCATCGCAAGAATACGATCAAAATTCAAAAACATGATAAAAAAATGTAGAAAATATATCACGTTTGGAATAAACATAGTCTGCAAACTGAGCAAATGACCACTGCATTTATGGTAAATATCACCTACTGAGCCATGGAGGTTGGTTGATTTTATGCATTGGAACAAATGTAAGATTCACTGGAATGTTGATTATTGATTAATGTTGATTCACTAGAAGCTTCTCGCCCGACCCGAAACCGAAAAATTCCTCAGGAATTACACAGGTGCGTTACTGGATTGTAACGTTGTGTGTTCCGTCTACGCACCCTACGATAACAGGAATGGAGATGTTGCATGTGTGAGGAATTTGCGATTTGACTATTGATTCTTATGTAAAAGTTCGCGAGAAACACGATGGTGCCACTGGTTTTCTCAGAAATCAACTTCCAAGCTCAAAAAAAGCTCTCAAGTTGAGGCCAAAATGGAGGGGATATCCCACGCTATCCTGAGAGTCCACCTCTACATCAAGACAAACTCTCCATGCAAAGATAGGGAGCAAATACATTGACAGGGCTGCCACTTTATTTGGGGACTCCAAAACTGAAAATACGACAACCCTGCTAATGTGCTTGCTCCCCATCTTTGCATGGAGAGTTTGTTTTGATGTAGAGGTGGACTCTCAGGATAACGTGGGATATCCCCTCCATTTTGGCCTCGACTTGAGAGCTTTTTTTGAGCTTGGGAGTTGATTTCAGAGGAAACCAGTGGCACCATCGTGTTTCTCGCGAACTTTTACATACGAATCGATAGTCAAATCGCAAATTCCTCACACATGCAACATCTCCATTCAGTATATAAAAAATATCTTCGGATAAATTACCGAAATAAACACACCACCCAAACCCACAAACTCGAAATAGTTATCAGTGTGTTTTGGAATACGTACATGTTTTGCACTTCATCAGGGAATCCCCAGGGAGCCGCGCACTGTAATAGAGACTCCGAATGTTCTACTCGACCTTCTAAAGAGTACTCTAGATCACAGTGAACTATTTTGGCACTTATCACCCTCAGGTCAACTCAGTAAAAAGTGTTTGCAATCCTTTTAATTTGAGGGTGCAAGAAACAGACATATATCCACGCGCAGAACCCAACCGTCAAACACACGAAGTGGAAGGTGTTCATCTCCTTGAAAATCTTGTACAAGTGCAAGGCGAAAAGACTCCACGCAATCACGTAACCACTCTCTTGCAAGAACATTTTGGTTTTGCTGATTTGAGATTTATCTCTTTCTTCGCTCTCCTTTCTTCTGGAATACCACGGGGATTCAGCATACCACTCGGATTTTTGTCCGGAGGGTTGAGAAGCTTTACCCAGACGCGTCACGAACTTCTGGATGCTCACGTCCGAGAAGACGTAGGGAGAGTCCTCGAAGAGGTTGATGTTTTCGACTTTGGACGACACGTCAGCCGCCTCGTAACACAGATCGCCTTTCATCCTCTTGACGAAGCTGCCGTCCTTGAAGATCTGCCCCCGCTCGTTGCAGTTCGAGTTCGGGTCGGCCGCCGTCTCGAAGTTCTCGTCGCGGAACGCGAACAGGTTCTCGGAGAACCAAGAGGTCTGCCGGTTGTGTCCCAAGACCCTGCCCAGAACCTCAGGATCCCTGTAAGAGACGGACTTCAACAACTGGATGAGGACGTTGCGAACGTTGTCGACGGACTTGATGATGTTGAAGTCGTTGTAGGCGGACTCGTGAGCCACGTAGAAGACTGCGTTCTCCAGGGATCTCAGCTCGGGGATCCGTTGGAGGATTTCGCGCCTCCGCCGGGCGACGGACTTGACGCTGGAGTTCGGCAAGTAGACCTTGTTATTATCAGGGATCTCGAATATGAGTTGGTGTACCTTCAGGTGGACGTTCCTCACCGACCCGGCATCCCTGCCCTCGTTCAGCTGGATGATCGTGTTGGCCAGGTCGGGGAAGTTGGGGTCCTGGGGTAGCTGGCACAGTGGGTCAGTGCCGAACTTCTTGTAACAGCTGACTTTGATGTTGTATTGTTTGATCTCGAACCTGGGCTCCGGGAAGAAGGCGAGACTCGACGCGCTGTCCAGCGGTATGTAGATCTTGTGAGCTGTGCAGTTGAGGGTGTAGGCTCTGTCGTCCGGGAGCACTATTTTGGCCCGGACGGACTCGTCGTCCGTGAAGAGATGCACCGGGTAGCGATTGCTCTCGAGGGAGCACGCGAAGTCCTGGGTGCACGTGTCGTGGAGAGCGCTCGTGTAGCAACCCTTGTCGTCTTTCAGCTGCCGGAGTCCGCCCTCGACGACCTCCTCGAACGGGCCTTCCTCGTGGCATCTCTGAGCGTCGAGGCCCGTGCAATCGCCAGTGCCGAACCAGTCGGCACTCGACTGACAGACTTTCCCGATGGTGCAGTGTTTGTTTTTGTACCATCCCTGAAGCTCCGGAAACGACGGAGGGAGCCCAACTCGCTCTTTCTCGCAGTCGTTGCAGTTACTGAAAAGTTGTCCCTTGCAGAAGGCGTAGACCTTGAGTCGGCGGCCGATTATCCCTTCCAGGGACTCGGGCGCGATCGAGAGAGTTGCGTTGTATGATTCACGGGTCAAGCTCAGTGGAGGAATCGTGGGCACGACCAGCCGGTGCAAGTTTGTTGGAAGTGTGGGGTTAGCTGTGATATTTGGTCCTTCGATCAGGAAAATTATGAGCAAGAAGAGGCTCCTTATCATCCTGCAAATAATGGAAAATGTAGGGAAGTTAGAGCGAGTTTATGGACACCAGGAACAGTTCTGTATGATGGTTCTAATGAGATTTTAACTAAGTGTTAATTCTGCGTCTGTGCGGCATTCCTTCAACTTGCTTTCAATTTATTTCCAAGAGAAACCCCTCACTGGAAAAAAACACATTGGATCTCGAGTCCAGACTCTTAAAAACATCGACAAGAAAAAATACTCTTGATTCAATCAGATTTAAGGTTAAATCACGAACCAAGCCTCTTAATTTGAGCGGATTTCCTCATGATTTAAGCTTAAATCTGATTGAATCAAGAGTCCTTTTTCTTGTCAATGTTTTCAAGAGTCTGGACTCTAGATCCAATGTGTTTATTTCCAGTGACCCCCCCCCCCCCAAAAAAAAGGAATNAAAAAAAAAGGAATAACCCGGGAGGGGTAAAGACAAATATGACGGGGTTCCCCGAACAAAGAATATGGTCGGTATCCTTGGGGAAACAATACATGTGAGAAATAGGCCATTCAGTCTCTTCTTAGACTTGCAGATTCCTGATTTGATATTATGATTCACTGGAAATGTAGTCATCAGTACATTTCTGTCAGTATTTATCATGTATTCAATTAGGCGTTCCAGCCGCGTGTTGATCCCTGACAGAAATAATTAAGGACTTTTTCGATAAAAGGGTGGATAAGGCTTACAATGCTGCTAAGATCGTCCAATTTGTATAGCGTTTGCGGCAGATGAAATTCATTCACAGTCGACTTACCTCCATACAATAGTGAGGAAAAACTTTGGGCAGATTCAGGGAAAAATTCTGAGCAAAACCGTCGGATAAGTTACTTACAGAACTAAGTTGCACATCCTTAGCAGCATTGGAAGTCTCTTACCAATGCTCTTTTACCGAAAAATGCCTCAATTCAGCACTGGCTACTAGATTTCAAAAGAATCATTTGTGCTCAGAAATGGAACACGATGGTGGAGTAGTGCTGGGTCCACAATACTCCGCAAGGAAAACAAGACCGAAAAGTTCCGAAAATTGAATCGTTTCAAAAAATTGAACTCTCATGAGTATCAGTGCAAGACTGTGGGAGAGGGGGGGGG